AAAAAAATGCTTGAATTTTGTTAAAGGCCTATTGTAGAAATCGCAATGGTCGCGGAAAAGATTGATTATTTCGTCTGAGTTTCTTTATTGAATTCAAGAACATATTATGATTATAAGAAACAATGATAAATTGGAATTGGGATCGGAATGTAAAAAGGTTTACAAAACATACCTTGCTTGAACAATCGCGATACTTATCCAAATACCGACTCCGCGAATCCCTCGTGTCCTTCTGCTTGTGCTTTTCCTTCTCCTTCTTTCGTTTTTCCCTTTCCTTCCGTTCACGTTCTCTTCGCTCATCCTCTTCCCTTTGCCGCTCCAGTTCAGCCTCTTCTTCAAGCTTCGCCAACTTTTTGAGTTCTTTCACTTTCTTCTTATTCTTCTTCAAGACAAAGTCTGCATCGGCTCCTAAATAATAAAGCTCATTATTTGAGAATTAATCGGAGAACTGAAAGCTAATATACAGTGAATATTTTTGAAGCAAATTTTTAATCCCACAAGTTATGTAAGGGCTAATGGGCTAATGCTGTATCGCCACCTTCATCGTTGTCAAAACTAAGAAGAGCTGGTGGTTTTGGTACCGGCGAATCTACGGCATCGTCTTCGTTCGACTTTGACGAAGCTGCTTCTTTTCGTGACGCGCTCGGCGATGCTTCTGCTGTTCCCGAGTCTTCCTTATCATCAGTGCTACCAGTTCTTTTGCGAAACGCAGCTTTTTTCGTCGGTTTCCGAAACATCTATAAACAGAAGTAGTAGTATGTTAATGAAAGATAGATAATAGCTGAAGGTACTCTTTGGAATACGAATAAAAGCAGCAACCAATCGATTTCATTTGCACTACATTTGATTCCGAGAGATAATGCGCCTGCTTTTTGTTTGCTTTTGAATCCATCCTCATTAGAGCAGCAAGCATTGCGAATGCCTTCGGCTTATTGAAAAAAAGCCCTAGACTGAGATGAAGGAAGAAAACAAAATTAAATGGAAAGAAGAAGGGGAATGGTGGTTGTTAAACTGATGATTAGAACAGCTTCGCCAAGAGTCTTAACTTATTATAGAGATGTCAAGTGCTTTACCGATTTCGAGATGCAAAAAAGCGTAAGCAGTTTTCACATATAAAGTTCGTTTTCAGAATTGAAAAGGTCATAGTTGAAGTAATGAACTCATTTTTTTCGTTAAATCCCTCGGGAAAAGAAAAAGATGACAGCGGCTATAGCACATTCAGGAAACTTGAGCTTAATCTAAGAAGTAAAGTTCAGTTTTCTCTTCTCAATGGTAGGTAAAAATACAAAAGCAAGATAAAGAAGTATATACAGAATACAGACCAAGTACATCCTTAGTAATCAATCCTCAAGTATCTATCTATGTGTTAATGTAAAATCAAACAAGTTAACGTAAAAACCAAACACATCCACAAAAAGTCAAAATGCACCAAAACAGATGAGAGGATTCAAGAGGTCACGAGTGACTTCCACATGCCATGAAAAATTCATTAAATTTTCGAAAGTTCAAAAAAAGCACTTTCCGACAACGCGCCACATCACAAAGGTTCACATTGCATG